TTGAGGTACTTTTCTTTGTTATTACTTTGTTGTCGTCTTCGGATAACATTTCTATTGAGTAAGGTTTTTTTGTTATGGTAGTTATTTGTAGTATAGTTGGTAACAATGTCAAAGCACGATGATTCTAAAGCTAAAGTTGACATTCGTAGTGTCTACATTGTTAAACAACAATTTTAGTCAAGGGAAAAAGAAGCTTTGATGGCGAAGATAAAGATGTTCCATTCCAAGTTAGGCAGTAGCTGGTTAGAGAGGGTGGCATTGGTGGTGACGTGTGTGTTTGGAGGGCAAAAGGGAAAAATTAGACAACAAGAGACGATCTTTAAGCAAGATGAGGGATGTGTTAGTGACTTGTGTAGCAAAGCTTACTATTGAAAAGAATAAGGCTTTGTGAGAGTGTGATAAGTACATTAGGAAAGTGGAAATTTTGTCTTTGGAGCGATCGTTGTTGTTGTCCTAGATTAAGGATCGTCAGGGTTGTGTGACAATTTTAGAGAAGTTGCCTGAGGAGCGTGCTCACAGTTTTAAGAGGGTCATTTGGCAAGTAGCATTTCATGTTGAAAGTTGAGTGTTGATTTGGATTTTATCAAGGATGAGCTTGTGAAGGAGGTCAATCTTCTTTACAAGGATGACTTAGAGGAATCATTTGATGAATGGAAAGAAGTGTTTATGGATTGTGGAGGGACATTTGCTATTGGAGTGTTGATTTATTGTGAGAAGGACATGGGTGTTATGGGTAAAGATACTGGGGATGTTGACGATTGAAAGGGCAAGGGAGGGTACCCTTGTATTTTGTTTTATTTTTTAATTTTTTTTCCATATGTGATCATGATGTTGATATACCTAATTGAATTTTGTTTTTTGATTCAATTGATAGTGCTTTTGTTATGCATGTGCTAAGAAATGTTGTGTTTTTGTAAGATCGTGAGAGGTCATGCATGGGTTCTCACGAGAGCTCGTTTATTCAGACGCAAGAGCTCGTTTACTCAAAAATATCATAAGAGCTTGTAAAGACGTGAGAACTAATTCGCTCGGACTTTATATATGAACTTGTAAGGTCGCATGAACCTATTTGCTCAAACATCGCATGTGAACTTCTAAGGACGTGAGAGTTCGTTCGCTTGAGAACTACGTGTGAACTTGTAAAGATGTGAGAGCTCATTCATTCAAAACTCGTGTGTGGACTTATAAAGACGCAAAAGCTCAATCGTTTGAAAATCGTGTAAAATGTCGTAAAGATGCAAGAGCTTGATTGCTCAAAATCATGTATGAAATTGTTAAGACACAAAAGCTCGTCCACTTAAAAATCGCTTAACCTTGATAATTTGATGTGATAGTATGTATTTATATGGTTATTTAAATTTTCAATAATAATTGCATACTAAATGAGTGAACAATGTAATAATAAATCGTACCTACTATCAAATCTTCCTTTATTTATATTGTATCTTTGATTTTTTGGCCTCACTTACCATTACCAATTAAATAGTCATATTTTAATTATGATTTAACTTGTCTATTAAGCTATATGATTTTGGTGTCATTTTTAAGTAGATGACAGAGCCAGACATTTAATAAGGCAATTAAGGCTAATTCCTAGAGTCCCCAAATTTATAAGGCCTCCAAATTCTTTTAATATTAGTATTATTTATATAAATTAATTTTTAAAAAATTATTAATATTTGAGATAAGGTCCAATATTTTATAAGATACATGTCTTAAATTGTTTATATCTCTTATTTTTTTATTATTAAAATTACTTAAAAGATCATAACCCATATATTAGTTTTTGTAAATGAAAAGTCACTCAACACTCAACAGTCACTACTACTTACTTTTTTCTTTTACAGATGACAGATTTTCAACCTCTTTGTTTCCTTTCTAGTCTATCTTTTTCTCATTCTCTCTTGTTGGGAATATGCCTAAATATCTTTAGGAGAATAAATTAATTTTTGATAATAATATTTTATTTATATTTCAAATATTTAGATTTAATCTATTTTGATTATTTTAGGATTTGTTTCCTTGTTTTTAGAATAAAATAATATCAATGTTTGATTTTGTATAACAAATCTTCTCTATAAATAGAGACCTCATGAATAAAATTATATTATGCTCCTATGATAAAAATAACTCTTATAAAATATCTCCTTAGACAAATACCATAAAATAATCTCATCATCTCTCCATTCTCATTCTCAATTCTTTCTTCTCTTCTAATTTGAGAGCTTGATTAGGAGCAATACGGTCCTACTCTTCCTTTTTTCTTGGTTGATTCCTACTTTGTAAGATCCTTTAAACTACTAAGTTAGTGTAATTCTAGGTGCTGGTTCAATAACATCAACACAATTTCTTAGTTATCACCATTGACAATCCATTGTAGTGCACTTCTTGCATGATATTACATTGTGAATTTGTCATGGGTCGTCCTAGGGATCAGTACCACATATTCTCTTTTATTGAAATTGAAGTTTGTCATCGTGACAAGATTTCTTCTTTCCATGATTTCCTGTGTGTCTTTGAAAAGTCAGGATCAAACCCTTCTAAAACATTGTGAATTAATTATTAATGCATGAGAAAAAACAATTTTTTTTTGTTCGTCCCTAGAGTATCCAGGGCCGATAACAGTGACTAATCTCCTCGCTACGTTGGAGACACCTCAAAGAGTGGGATAGCTGGCCCCAAGATTTAACACGACTGCATACACAAGGCAGGATTTGAACCCCTGACCTTGCTTAAGCGTGGATCAACCCCTACTTCTGAACCACACGCTTGGGGTTGAGAAAAAACAATTTAGTGCAGTACTTTTATTTACAAATTATAATTTTTAGATCTCATTTTTTATTGTTTATCATTGTAGGTGCACGCAAAGTGATTGTCACTACGGTTTCAGTTTTGGATACTCATAGCTGCAACAGTTCATAGCCATAACTTAAAGAAATTTTCATTCACAGATATAATTTTTCACTTTCCAGGTTTTATTGTTTCTTTTTTATCTTCTTTTAATTTTAAAAATTATTTTTCTTATTATTTTATTTTAGCCAATCAGTAAAATATGTCAAATAGAAAGTATGTATCTGGTTTTGAAAAGTTGAAAAAAAAAAAAGAATTGAAAAATTAATTCAATCTCAACAAGGTGTTCTTCATAAATTTGTTACTATTCATAAAAAAGATGTTACAACTAGTTCAAAAAATACAGATATGACAGAAAATTCTCCACTAGAAATCCCAAATAATATTAATATAGTATAGCAAAATACTGATAATGAAAACATTCAAGAGGTAGAAAATTTTCACAATATCAATAATCCTGATCCTAGTCGAGAAGATAGTACATTAAATATTTATGAAGTTTCTAAAAATATTTATGATCGAGGACAATGGAAAAATATTGATGAAAACTTTAGAGATTTAATAGTTGAAAGTGATCCAATTAGATATAACAATATGGAGTATCCAAAAGATGAAAATAATAGACACTTTTCTTCATTTTACTACCAAAAAGTAATGCCAAATGGAGAAAAACATGATCGAAGATGGCTAGTTTATTCAAAGGATTTAGATAAAGTGTATTGTTTTTGCTGTAAGTTGTTTTGTTCAAAAAGTAGTGCTTGTATTGTTAACCAATTAGTTAATGAAGGTACTAGAGATTGGAAAAATATTGGTTCCAAGCTTAAGAGTCACGAGACAAGTTATGAACATGTAACTAATATGGATAAATGGATTGAATTAGAAGCAAGATTGAGAAAGAAAAATACAATTGATAAGAAGATCCAAGAACAAATTAATAAGGAGAAGGAACATTAGGAGAAGGTTTTGGTAAGGATTATAACTATAGTTAAACATCTTTCTAAAAACAATTTAGATTTTTGTGGGACAAATGAAAAAATATATCAAAAAAGCAATGGAAACCTTTTGAGTTTGATTGAGATTTTAGCGGAATTTGATCCGGTTATGCAAGAACATGTTAAGCATATAAAGAATGATAAACTTCATAAGATCGGAGTTGGTTATTGATGTGACGGCCTAGGGCGGGTCGTTACACATAACATCACTAATAATTTTGTGTGAGACACCTAAGGAAGCCACTTAACATTTTAATAAACAAATAAATATTTTAAAAAGATTGCATAATAATAAGGACTAAAAACAACTATTCTAAAATTTAGAAGGATGAAAAATAAGAAAAAAATTTACTAGGAACAATTTTTTTTTTGTTCATTTTGTAAGGAATAAAAACATATTTAAACATTTTTTAATTTACTTGTTTCAAAATATTTTATGGAAAATATTAATTAAAATATTTTTAGATATTTATTTATATTTAAATAATTTAAAGGACTAGGAGCATGTATGGATAAAAAAGAAAGAAAAGGATATATAAGAAATGATATTGTGAAAGAAAAATTTTAAAAATAAATAATATGAAAAAAAAAAAAAACCAATAGTGAAAGTGGAATGATGACCCATGCTCTTACGACTTACGAGTTAACAAGACTAGGAGAATGATCATAGAGGAGGCATGGCAAATTTTCTGAGTGGTTTTTTCTTCCTTGTATGGTCAAAGCCGGGATTTTGGAATTTTTAACTAATATTTGTAATTTGTAAAGTGCATCTCTCTCTCTCTTTTCTAACCCAAGAGTATTAGATTGAATGTAGTCATGTCATAACTTGAAATCTATTAGAAAAAGTCAAGAAAACTTGCCACAGTTTTTGATTGAATGTTTTATACTATTCAGTGCATACCATCACTCAATCTTCAAGTTAAAGTTTAATTTCAATGTATCGACAGAATTACGAAATCAAAAACTATTTTATTTGGTAAAAATCAATAAATTTATGATTTGTAATTATAAGTCAGTGTGACTCCATTCACTATTTACCCTTACCTAATTGTTATTTCAATTTTGTTATATGTTGCCGCCAGGAGAATAATTAAAAGCTAGGCATTGTTATTTGCTTGACCACAACATCCAAAACAGTTTATTTGAAAGGAGTAGAAGTAAATAAGAGAGCAGAAACTGTTACTCAATATAAGGCATGTTGAAGTTTCTTACAACAGTTTTTCATGGACAATTATAAGTGCTGATCAACAATGCAGTTGAAAACGAACCACGGAGACAGAGAAAGCACGAAACACCCCAAATGAGAGAAGGAAAGTGGAAACTAGTCCAAACTCCAAAGGAGAGAAGGGACATAAGTTTCAAAAGAAATCAATATCTAAATAATTACCAGAAGGCTTCACACCAAGCTCCTTTTCAGTTTGAGGAAGCTGCACAACTTGCCTTGGCACCTCTGGAGGATTTGCACAACGGATCAGTGCCCAGTTAACATTCTGAAAGAAAGGATGCTGCTTTATCTCTGTTGCGCCGCGCCTATAGGCAAGACGATGCTGCGGTTCTTTCACAAGCAAGCCTCTGATCAAGTCCCTGGCAGCAAAGCTGACAGTAGGAGATTCAGGAAACCTCAAAGGCTGTCCAATTACATTGAACAGCGTTGCGCGGTTCACTGAGCCTTTGAACGGCGTTCTACCGAACAAAAGCTCATACAAGAATATGCCAAATGTCCACCAGTCTACAGCACTTCCATGCCCTTCACCCTTGATGATCTCAGGTGCCAAGTACTCATGTGTCCCCACAAAGGACATTGATCTGGCATTTGTTGGCTCAGCAATTAGCTCAGGGAGAGGGGTCACCTGATGATGCATGTCATTCTTTGGTTTGTACTTCTTGTCTTTCTTCGATTTGCCGGAGAGAAAGCGTGGCGTGAAGCATGCCGGTTGGATGCAGTCTGGCTGCATTACACATGTTGGCTCAATGCAAGAAGGCTGAATGCAGTATCCTGAGCTTTTTGTCTCCAAGCTGTTGTTTGATGACTTTACTAGAGTTGGACTTACAGTGCACCTTAGAGAGAGGTCAAAATCTGAGAGCATTATGTGACCATCTTCTCTCACCAATACATTCTCAGGTTTTAGGTCTCTGTAGATGATCCCTAGCATGTGCAAGTACTCCAAAGCAAGGAGAACTTCTGCCACATAAAACCTGCAAATCAAGAATGCAGATTAAGTAATTTACAATCCTCTACAAAATATTCAAACAAGCAAAAACAGGTACATCTTTATCTTTGTCAAAGTTCAAGCATTCTACTTGAATTCACCAGGCTTGGAGTGAAAAGAAGCAAGGAAATGACTATTTGTAACATCACTGAGCATAAAAGTTTATTGAAAGAGTTTAGATTCCATCTGCAGCTAATATAAAACTTCTTTTACACTCATCCAGTGTATTGCCACATTATTGGTAGAGCTTTAAATTAACACATTTATAGTTTATTAATGTAGTAACACGTGATTGAAAGATTTTCACTCAGTCACAGCAGACAATGAATTAAAATTAAATTCAAAGAGAATCAGAATGTCACAATGATGGAAAAGATATAAGCAGAGAACTAAGGTAACTGACTAATCATAAAGGCAGAGACAGAAAAGGTAAAGCATGTGCAAGTGGTATATTTAATAATTTGGCTGACATGCTCAAACGAAGTTGAAAAACAATGGAAGTTTTCATACTATGTGGGGAGAAGAAAAAGAAAATCTTGGCTACATAGAAATTTCAGGGGTCATATTTCACCACATATTACAATCTGGCAGTCCATCTTTTGCCATTTATATTATGAAAAACTCAACTGGTAAAAATCTTTCACATATTTATTCCTAAGGAAAGGATTGAGTTTTCCTTCCAAGTTCCTGGTGCCATGAAATACTTGAGTACATAAATCCAAAGATACTGTTGTTCTCCAACTAGAGTTAAAGTTTTACTTTAATAATACGCAATTACTTTTAACACAAATCTCAGTAATATATACTTATGCTTAATAGTAAAATAAAACTCCAATTCTAATTAAAGAACAAACATCCACCATATCTAAAGAATTATACCTAAGTTTTGTCCATATAGAATTTAGCTAATAATAATATCAAGTTCACTGACCCTTGCTTCTTGAACATGTGTCTGTTTGTTATGTATAAGTACACTTGCAAGGGTTAAGCAGAAAAGGAATTGCTAACCTGACAGCATGCTCCGAAAAATACTTCCCTGGTTGTCTTTGCCTAAGTGCATGCAGGTCCCCACCAGGGCAAAACTCCATCACCAAGCAGGAGAATGTCTCTGTCTCAAAGTGTGTATACAATGTGGGTAGAAAAGGGTGATCCAAAGACTGCAATATCTCTCTCTCTGTCTGAGCCCTCAGAAGCTTCTTGCGGTTCGCCAGCTCGGTCTTGTTCATGATCTTCATGGCAAAAGAAGTTCTTGTGCCACTCAATTCTGCTAGATACACACTACCTATGTCTCCACACCCCAATTTTTTCAACAATCTGAAATGCCTCATCTCCAACATCCCGTCTCGTGCTCGAATGACTTGAATTGCTTCCCATCTTATGTCATTTGCCTTGTGAGGTTTATATAAAACACTGCTCAAACTGCTGGTGCTGCTATCATCACTAGCATCACTGCCAGTACTAGCTCTACAGATGCTGGTCTTCCTGCTCTCATTAAAATCACAGGAATTCGCCACTTCTCCACTTCCACGTGACTTGTCAACACTAGCACACTCACTCACTTCAGTGTTGGTGAAACTGTCTTTGGCTTCAGAATACACAGTGGCCGAATAGAAACTATTCTGAGGGCTTGGACAGAAAGTAACCTCAGACTGGCAGTAACTCTTGGCATGATTTGCAACGGCTCGTTTCGATGGACCTAAGGCACAATTCTCAGATTCCAACACAACACCACTTGGCTCACAATTCTTGGAATCATCAAGTGGTTGCTTGGTGCACAATTTTGTTGGCAACAATCCTTCATGATGCTCAACATTATCTCCCTCCTGGTAGGAATGTTTTTGATTAATTACATGGCTGTTATGGTGATGGATGTTCTTGGTTTGATGACCAGCCCCATGGTTTCTAGATGCTCTCAAGGGAGGCCGCGAAGGACGGGGTGTCCCAGATAGAAGAGGATCATGATGTACCCCAGAAACTGAATTCTGAACCTCTGATAAGGACTCAACTCCATTAATAGGTGACTCCATGAAGGGTATCTGAACAGGCTTAAAAATCAAACTCAGCAAAGTGAATTACCAATGTGTACTCATTCAAAGAGCACTTAATTCCAAAATCTCCTTCACTACAAAAATGTCTATAAAATTGACATTAAGGAAGAAAATAATAAGATATAGGGCATTAAATCATTAACCAACACACGTAATGAAAATTCAAAAAATAAAATAAAGAAAACATGAGAGAATCCGCAAGAGACCCATTTCAGACGCAATGAATCACCAGAAAACCGTCCAATTGAGTACAATCCATTTAGAAAACCCCAAACAAAAGACTTCAAATTTAATAACCCAAAAGAAAGCATAGGCAAACACCTAAAGGATTCCACTAAGCCTCAAGAAAATTCTTTAGAACTTTCCCAAGAACCGGTGTTCCTTTCAGGACACTTGGAAAACAAACAAGAGCAAAACATGATGAAGAAACGAGTCTCATTGAAGCCATCAACGGTTTTGTGTTGCCAAATGCATTAAACCAAAACACCCCAAGTTAAAAAGTTTGATTCTTTGGAAGCCCCCTTGAGCTTTCTTTGATTCTACTACAGTGGCTGAGAACCTCCACTTAAAGAAAAAAAAAAAAAAAAAAAAAAAAAAACAAAGGGGGGGGGATAAAATTTGGGGG